AATTACATTTGAGCAACAAATGTTTAAGAGGCCATTCTACTCTTTCGAGTGAAAATTGGAGCAATTTTTCGGAATTTCTTTTAATTAAAAAAACAATAATTCTAAACTATTTTACTATATTATTCGTGTTTCAAAGAACAAAAGTTTTTTGAAAATTTTTAATTTTTTTATAGCAAAATTTGTCATGAAAGATGACGCCTTAAAAATTATATACTCGCTGGCGGTAACAATATCATTTGAAAAATAAAAACGAAAAAAATTCGTATTTGATTTGAGTATCGTACTACGTATATATACTACAAAAAAGAACGTTTAGTAAAAAGTGCATAAATAATGTATCTATTTTTTTAAATTAGATTTCTATATCTTAATTGTAGATTTTCTCAAACTTCTATTTTTTTATATTTACCATTTTGTGAATTTTTGATCTAAATTTTTTTTCCGTGGTATATGTGATAGCGATACTTGTATGAAATACGAATTATTTTAATTTTATTTTCCAGATGAGACTCCTTCAGCAGATGTATCGTTACTAATGCCAGCGAGATGTATAATTTTTAAGACGCCATGTTTCACAAATTATACACTATGAAAAAATAAAATAAAAATTTACACAAAATTTTATTACGTTCTTTGAAAGATATATAATTCAGTAAAATAGTTTTTGAAATTGTTTTTTAACTGACAAAAGTTCTTAAAAATTGCTCCAATTTTCATCAGAAAACCCCCTGTTGAATAACCCCTTAATTGCTTCGTTTATGAATGAGAATGTCTTTGATACAAACTTAAATGCTTAGATCGATATTTTCTTTCATTATTGCGTATTGTTACATTAAGTCACATATACTTGTAATTACAAATCCAATCTCATATATTAAATACAAACCAAGTTATCTGGGCAATTGTATTTCATATAAGACGATAGCGAAAACAAGTAATTGAAATCTAGAAATTCCTGATGTTGTAATGCATATTACTAAATGCTAATTGCTAAAAATTTGTTAAGAGGTCAATATTACTGACAATTAAAATCAATAGAAATAAAAAGGAACACCGATATAAATATTTAAGTTTTGACCAAAGATATATATTTCCAAAATGAAGAGCTCGATCCATCGATTTATCATCGGCTACGACAGCCATAAAAAACGGAAACTTGAATAGAATAATTCAGCTTTAATAGAATAATTTAATTAATAATTTAATCTTAATGTAGTGAGTGTTAGTGTTTTTCCCATATTTTCAGAGATCATTATGCCTTGAAAAGTGTAACTGCAGCAAACAAACAGTTTGACTGCCAATATCTGTTACGAATCTAAAGCTCGATAACATCGACCACATATCAAAAGTTTAAATTAAAAACATAATAGCAATCGCACTTACCAAATACGAATAGAATAGATGAGTCGGCGAACAAATCACGTACAATTCGCAATACAGTTTAACAAAGAAAGTGTTACGTGTAAGCATTTCTTATAGCAAGGAATGCTTAACGGTTTTCTATTGTTGTCACCGACAGGCGACAGACAGGCGCCTACGAGCGCAATCCTGCACAAACATGTCTCCTGATAACCCGTACGGTCGTGTCCAAAGGACGCTCGAGCACGTCCGGCCACCACCGTCGAGTCGGGCGGTCCCCGTTCCCGGGACTCTCCAATGGGAGAGTCGGATCCATAGATCCGACAACTCCCGCGAGAACCCTCGGGATCGGTGCCTGCACACTCGATACTCTCGGTAGTCACTCTCATCGCCGTCAAGTACGATATCCGACGCGATTTAAGAGTAAAAACCCATAACTGTCCTCGCGCGACTCAGGGCGAAGTTTTGCCCCTAGGCATCTGTCGCAATAGGACGCATTATAACGGTACGACTCAGGGCCATCCGTGCCCCTAGGCATTGTCGTAAAACTCGCGATATTCCATTAAGTCAAGTGTATTGCAATTATTAATAAACGATCAGTGCATTAAACGAAACAACGTGTGTGGATCTTAATCCATCCCACCGACACAATCCAGAAAGTGTTGTTAAAAGTCGAGCTAATATGATCTGAATCGATCAGGTAACTGTGTCGTTGTTTGCTTTATTCAATTTTACAGTAAAAAACAAAGAGAAATTAAACTTCAAGCATTTAAATAAGTGACACATAAGCACAAGTTATAAATTGTTAAATTATGTACAATTTTAATGAAAGTGTCGATAAAATCTGAAAGACATAAATGCACTTTGAATATATATTTCGAGTTACATACGGTACAGTAAAAATCTCTAATAATAAAGAAAAAAGATGTGTAAATATATAAATTATGTCGAAATCACTCGATACGTTTTTTCTATATTTTCAGAGATATCATTATCATCGTGACTTGAAAAGTCCAACTGCAAGTTAACAATTTAAATGCATGTAATATCTGATATGAATCCAAAATTCTATAACACCGATCACGCATAAAATGTTTCAATTAAAAACGTAAAAGCAGTCGTACTTACCAAATACGAAGAGTAGACGACGAAGAAGTACAGATCGTAGTATACTTCCACAAAGAATAAATTGTTCAAAGTTGAGCTATAAAATATATCTGAATCGATCGCAGGCCTTTCCATCGTTGATTAAATGTGTACTTTATTCAATTTTACCAAATAAAAAGATACACTATACTCGAAAAAGACCGTGAGTATCACTTCACCGATGTCAACAACTTTTCGGTTCCGCCATCTATTATATATTGACATGACGTGAGAATAAAAAGCGAAAAAAGTTCAGAGTTTGTAAATAACAAAACATATTTTTTATTCTTATTAATATCACATTTACATCTTTCTTGAGGCTTAACACTTTGTGACCCGATCCTAGTACACAGCTTCGAGTGGTTGCGTTTAAAAAGAGTAGCAATAAATTTCTAATTTTTTTTGGTCAAAATGCAGCGATGGTTCCACTTTCTCTCAGTGTGATATCTTTCCTGATATTAAATTACAATGTCAGGCCAACTTCTAAAATGTGCCTAAGAGGAAGAAGAATGGAAAAAGGGGAGTGAAATATGACGCTTGGCGATAGAAATATCGAAAAGAGCAATGTGTCTTTATTTCGTATCAGATATAAGCAATAAAGTAGCAAATATACGATCGTCCGTTTTTCGTTTTGTGACAAGCAGGCATGAAAAATCGGCATGAAAAGATACCGAAAAAGAGAAAAACACCACATGGACCACATTCATCAAAGAAAATCAGTCCCTTATGTAATTTGATGCTCGACAGTATGTACCCCTACCACAGGCCACAAATGCCACGAACATCGGCTTTGAAACGAATTTACATGGTCTGCGCACGCGTGGTGAGCGTCGCCTTCGTCATTCGGCCGAAAAAGGGCGGTTTCCGAACTGCGGAAAACCGCGTCGGCCAATAATTTGGAACGCAACAGAACTTTTATCCGCCTACCAACGAGTTTTCATCAATCAAGCTCTGCGATTCCCGAGAACTTGAAGCAGTCTGGATAGGATGGTTTACAACCATCTCTCTCCGATGTATTCCTCAACCGACGAAACTTGTTTAACCCCGACTCAAATTTTTCCAGCACAGTTTTCCAGCGATCGACCGCTTGGCCGCGTCGATCAAGTTGTACGTGCGCAGCGTAATTAGAGAGTTTTCATAAACTTAAAGTACGCGTGTGTCCTGCCAACAGCTTTTCCATTCGCATGTGCCCACTTGCCGAATCGAGTACATAGCTCTCGAGCTATTCCATTCGCAAAGAAAAGGTAAGAAAATACCAATACGGCATCAAAAGATTGTATAAGTTTATACAATCTAATAAATGCTAATATTTATTGGCATCTAATAAATCCCTCCTCTCCCATGACGTGATATATGGTAAATACGAGAAAATTTTTTGCGACAAAGAACATTAAGGGAGAGTTGCCGAATACGTACATACACCAAGAAAAGTGTATATTAATAGTTAACATCGTTGCTTTCCTATAAATGTATGAATTTTTTGTGTCCGATCCTAATAAATATTTTTTTGTACGTAATACGTATAACAAATATTTCTTTGTACGTAACACGTATATTGAAAACTATCAAATATTAATAAATTTCTTAACGTTTATATCGCGTCGCGGGAAAGGGGGAGGGTCCCAGCAAACCAAAACATGTAACATAGATGTATATGTAACAATACACGAGTATCAATAAATTTTACATGTAATATATCTTGTATAGGTAAATGTAACGTACTGGTATAGCTCTATGTCAGCAACTTTGAATGTATCATTTATTCATCAAATATATTTCAATGATACATTATTGTAACATTACATAGACGTATATGTTACATATATTTTTATATCATGTAATATAACATAAATATCTATGTTACGTTTATATAATGCAATGTATAATGCAATATATGAGTATAAAAATAAACATTAATTTATG